AAAAAAAAAAAAAACTGACTGTACACTGGAATCTAGAATCAAGTCAGCAAACGTTTTCACATGTGAGGCCGCAGGTGTTAATTCAGCTCAGATTATTAACGTACACACATTAGGGGCCAAGTGCAGGGACCGGGAGCACGGCCGTGATCTACATGGTAGGGCTCTGATGACTGACCGTCAGCTTTTACAGCATTTTGACAAAAGATGGAACATCACGTGCCAATGATTCATCTCCACATGAGGAGGAAGCTCTAGACTCATGATAGTGTGCATGGCTGTAAAAAAACAAAAAAAAACATTTTATACTGTCCTTTATCGAACAAAACAGGATAATAAACATATAATACTCAGACTATGAGGTTAACATATAAAAAGTACTAGACATATCAACAGAGATGAGGAAAATGTAGAAAAGGTAAAGAACTGAAGAATAGAAAAAAGGCATCTTAAGATTATGTTAAGTGTGAGAAATGGTGCTGATGATTGCGACGCAGGAGGTGGTTTGGTATGAGGACAGAAAGAGAGAGAGAGAGAGACGCAGAGAAGAAGAAGAAGAGAGAGAGGAGACGAGAGAGAGAGAAAGAGAGAGAGAGAGAGAGAGAGAGATCTCTGTACTGAAGACATCCTGACAGTTTACAGTCCTCCTGGTCTTCACACCTCTGGGACAGAGTGATCCATGGCTGAGCGCAGGAGGCCGGTGGACATCCTGGAGGAGAAAACACAAAGCACATCCATAAGCTCGTCAGTGAGTAGGATCAGGCAAAATCTATCTTCACACTGGGTTAGTTTAACATCGTTACACCTGCTGTTTGATTTAGTTGGTAACATCACCCATTACTTGATAAAGGGCCGCTTCCAAACCAAGACAAGGCTCTCGCTCTTTTAAGAATATCCTTCCCAGACTTTTTCAAACGTTGTCTTGACAATTCAGGACACCACTTGCTCACAAAGATTTGCCGGTAGGCCTAGAATTGACCACTTAACCCCCGTTTTATTCCTACTCATTACAGATAGGGGTCGGCATTTCTGAGACACTTGCTGATTTGCTTAATTTGTAGATTTGTCCGCGCCGTCTCCACTGAACTGACTGCAGTTTACTACAGTTTTCCTCTAACAGTAACATTACTTTACTTACCAAATTAAGTAGAATTTACAGATTTTTTTTTCATCTCACCTATTGGCCAATTAAAAGAAGTCGGAAGTGTTGTATGTATGTATTTATCAACATTTCATGAGAATACTGATCACAGCTCTGGCAAAAAAAAAAGACCTGAGGCCGAAAAGATCGCTGCAAGTTTGTTCCACACCTGGTAAACCTGAATGTTATCCTACCAACAACGTAGGCAATCTGAGTGAGGGGCTAGAGTACAATTAAACATTTCCAGGATATTTGGTCATTTTAATCACTTTGCAGGTGTTTCTGTGACTAGAAAACTAGTCTCTACATTTCCAGATGTTCCATGTTTTCCAGGAAGCATGGGTACCGTAATAAATCAAGTGAGAAGTAGACTAATTTCCCCATAAGGCTTCACTTCCCAGACCTGGAAGCTCTGTCCATTAATTATATACTGTCAATAATGTGGACCATGAATTAAAATGATACCTTGTGGCCGTTTAGTTCTGGTCCACTTCCTGTTTAGACTGACTTATTACGAACAAACCAATGGGAGTAAACATGGAAGTCATATATAGATACACACTGACTCAATGATTGGACAGTTTTGGTGATGACCATACTGCATTATGGGTGCTACATGGATCCACCTGTCAAATTCTGGTGACTGACAGCAGGTCATGCACTTCAGTGCACCTTATGTGTAGTTACTGTGCCAACGCCTCATTTTATATGATAATGACGCTAGATTCAAATGCTGAAGTCCTACCTCTTAATCATGTGTTCATAGACGAACTTTGGCATGATGGTGATGGTCATGGCGGTCGGAGAGGTGGTCAGAATGTCCTTGATCTGGGAATCCTGGAATTTTAATACAGAAAGTGTGACAGTGACATGTGAGGACCTGAATAATGACATACTATCAAATTTGAGGTTTTTAAGTAAAGTTAAAGTCCCCCTCCAATCAAAACTCAGTGTTTCTTCTTGTTTCTACAGTGAGTCTGATCTTCACTGTGCAGAATGATGTATGTGCAGAGTCTGACACTGGAAGGATGATATATGTCTGGAGGGGATCTTTAACATTTAGGCTACAAACACATTCAAAGCCTTCAGGGCAGGATGAAACTAGACGCCTACCACAGAAAACGCTGGACGAAAAGCTAACTGTGGCTACATTACCAAACACCTTTTTACTTCACATTTGCACAGACTTGGAGCTGCTGAATGCTGAACTTACTTACAAATGCTGCACGCTCCCACGTTACACTACATTCTGCCATCCCAATGCAAAATTGAAATTAGCACCAAACATTTAAAAAGCATCACATACATTTGTATTTAAACTTTTGTGTTTTCGCACAACACAAGATCAATAAAGTTCATCTTGTCTTACAGCTTCACTTCCTCTTATAATGAGAACTATTTGATGAAAAGAGTCGTATACAGAAACAAAGTGTCTGACCTTCAGTCCAATTATGTTTTGTCCGTTGATTTCACAGATGTAATGGTCAGTCAGCAGGCCGTTGCGAGCAGCAGAGCCATCCTTAACCAGAGAGGTGATTTTACCAGACTTGTAAATGAAGCCCACATGGCCTGAGCTGTCTTTGTGCATGGTGATGGTGCGCTGAAATGGCCTAGAAACACAAACACAGAGCATTAGGAATCCACAGGCATAAAAAGCCAATCCTGAGACTCTTTCATTGAGAACTACAACGAACCATGTTCATTCATAATTAGAATGAATAGAAAATACTGAAAACTCAGAAACAGATGGCGAATTCAAGATAACATGAAACTCTCATTTGATAATGTCCATGAAACAGCCAGCAGAGGGAGCCAAACATTTCAGGAAACCATTTAGAAAACAGATGACAGAAAATCTCACCTGTTTAATATTAAGGTATATACATACATACTCTTTAACACTTTGAATGCAAATTAGGGATGCCCATGTTTTTATATATTTTATATATTGCTACGTGATGATCGGGTAGCAACCTCTCATAAACCTCTTTTCTTTGAACTCCAACAGGCTGTTAGAAATATAAAGAGTTGCGTATGTGCATTTAAAATCCTGACCATTAGAACTCAATATAACAGGCAAGATAATGTAATACAATAAAGCACCATTTACACATTAGATAAATGGATGTCGAGTAGTTTCTAAGTGTTGCAATGTTAAACCACAACTGCTTCCCCAAACGTAAAAAGACAAGTCAGGACTACAGATCTCCACATTGGAAAAAAACCACTGAGGACAGATTCATCTCATGTATTATTCCATAATACATTTGAATGTACATTATAGTCTAATGTGGAGGCTCACAAAGCACTTCTGAGTAATTTGCTCTCAATCTCTCAAAAAAAAAACTGGACATGCATTATTATTAAAACTATTAGAAAATATTTGTTGACACGTTTGACTGAAACAAACTAAAATACTCCTCACCTGTCCCTGACCACGAGCTCAATGCGGGTCTCAGCTGCGGCCTTCAGGGCCTTGTGGGCCTTGTCTACGCTCCAGCCGGCACAGTTCTGCCCGTTGATCTGAAGGACCTGGTCCCCGAAGCGCAGGCCAGCCAGGGCCGCGGGGGAGTTAGCCTGCACCAGCTGGACAAACACTCCCTGAGAGATGAAAAGAGGAAACAGATAAAACAAAGTGAGTCCGAGGACTGGAGCAAGACAGGAAGACAGACACTGATAGTGGAGAGAAAACAATAGAGCAACTCAAAAGCAAGGAAAATGTTGCAAAACAAAACAGAACCAGCACGTCTAATGATGTTCACACAATGTGACGATGATGTCCTTCATTTTGAGTAATTCCACCACTAACTAATTGAATCTTTTAATCTTTTAGCCAAATCATTTCAGTCAATTCAAAGGCTGTCCACTGTATTTGTGCAACTGAATACAAATAATAATGAATAATTTACTGCATCCAAGTGCCCATTACCACCCACTAGCTTCCCCAGTTATCTAAAGAGATCAAGCACAAACTTTGTTTGTTTTCCTTTCAACATATTAATGGTTCTTTGCTCTCTGTACCGATAATAACCCCAGTCATTAACTTTAGCAAGTTACCCTAATTATAGCCAACGCACATGTCCCATAATATTGACTTGATTATAAACAGCTGAGCAGTTGTTGACTACTAATGGGTAATATAGTTGTGGTCAACATCATCAGATTTATCCAAATAACACTAATGCCTGCATTATAATGACCGTTCCTTGTAGCCGCTTTAAGTTGTTCAGTTCAGGCTTGTGAGCAAAACCAAGAAAAAGATGGATCCATACACGTGAAATGATTAGATGTAAGCCAACCTCAAGCTTGTAATGTTCAGTATCTGTGCCAACTCCTTCTAAATGAGTCAGACACTTCCTTTAAATCAGTAAATATGACATAAATAAGACCACCACCCCAAAAAGTAGTTGACCATTTTTTCCCCACAAAACCTTGTGGCTAGTATTAGTTGCTAAACTAGTATTGGCCTCTAGTGCACATGCTTCAGATATTGAGCAAAACATGTTAAACATTGAGTGTGTACACCAAGTTAGGCAGAGTTTGACCCAGATCACGGACCATATGTTGCAGTAGAATACGAAAGTGTGGATATCCTTAGTCATCAGTGTTGTCAAAGGGGTGTTAACAGCAGTGAGGGCCTGAATAATTCATGCAACAACAGGTGCCACAGGTCAAAGACTTTGTGCTGCTGACTCACATTGTCGATGGCCCTGAGCCGGAGTCCCACTTTCCCGTCCTGGTCCTTACAGAGGATAATCTCCCGCAGCCCTGGGCGGATCTCTGCCCTCCTGATGCCGACGTCAGACCCCGTCACCGGCCGCACCATCCCCCCGACGCCTGAGCTGGAGGGAAGTGCCACTTGCTGCGGAGGGGGAAGCCAGACAGAAAGGGAGGTGAGGAAGGAAAGAGGTGAGTTGAGAAGCAAGAAGAAGGAAATTGAGTGAGAGAGGGAGGGGTGAGAGGAAGAAAGTATTACATTTAAAATTCAGCTAGAGAAAAGGAATGCTTCATCAAACAGAGGTATGTGGGAGGATTCAATCTCATCTCCTCCTCCGCCAGTGAATGAGATGAGGAAAGCTTTGGACGCTGCTTTTGAAACAGCATCATTAATGTGCTTTTGATCTAACAACGGTGAAATTAAAAACATCAGGAGAATAATGGTCGAGGTGAAGATATCAACGAATGGCAGCGAACACAGATGGTTAAATGCCAACTGACAAGCTAGGGTTGCTGTGAGAGCCTTGACATCTGCAGGATCCGCATGTACACAATACACACACGCAGTTGGAGGGGAGTGAAGAGCTTACACCCTCCCACACACACTGCTCCAGGCCCGCGGTGAGTCACTCGGTAATGTGGATCTCCAGGAACAGAATACTGTTGTGCTCTGATATATCTACTAAAAACAGGGTTTTAATCACGGTTTGAAGCGAGAGGCTTAAAAAGATACAATATGTAACATTTCTGCATTAAGATGTCTAAAAATGACTACACCGGTTAAACATTTTGTTGAGATGTGTTCTTACATTATCCAAGTTTCCAACAATGTTCAAACCCAGAGAAAATCTGAATTTTATTCAAGGTAACAATGCATTTGGGTGCCTGTCGATGGCATCACGGCTACAAGTCAATACTAGCATAAAACCCCTAAATCTGATATCAAACTGTCAGCGGTCAGGTTGCATTGTGGATGATGTAGGCACCAGGTTTTGACAAGGAATATGACTGTGTTCTGCTGCATGGATTTTTATCCTTTTTTTCCTTTAAACTGACCATCATGGGTCAGTGTCAGGAGTGCAATGCAATCCCATGGAGTACTCTTTTAATAATGCCTCCACACTTTTCACATGTTTACAAAAACACACTTACATTGTCAGCCACAGGCAACAAAGCCAGGTTCCTCTGGACTTCATCACTGTTGAGAGCCAGACCCATGTAGTCTCCCAGCTCCTCCAGGTTCGGGTACAAGCCTGGAACGATGTAGAGAGAGGTGGAAAGGGGGAGGGTGGGTGAAAAGGGGAGAAGGACGGAGTGAGGCCGAGCAGGTGGGAGAGGAGGAAAGTGAGAGACAGGTGGTTGGTAGGGTAGAGAGACCAGAGGAGAGAGAGAGACACATTACACATTACCAAATGTTACATAATGAATAAAAGAATATATACTAAGAATCTGGCGATACAATACGTATCACCATACAAGGGTTACGATTCAGTATATTGTGATACTGTAAGCAAGGCCATATATTGCCATATATTAAACTCGTTTACTTTTTGTGCAGCCAGAACAGTGGGTCTGTATTAGTATTCATTACAGTCCCTGTAACATCACAGCCCTCAGTTTACTTTTACAACACTGCTTTCTAGCGGTTCAGGCTTTCACCAAAAAAAACTAACACAGAATCATTTTTCAATATTTTCTTACACTTGTACTTTCTGCCCATGCTTTCTATTAGTGCTTCTCCTAAACTGCAGCACTGAAGACAGGTCTGGTACTGTATCCATTTTGTTGTGAATTCACATGTGTGCAGTACCCGTTCTCATTCTTTCCTACACTTTATATTTACTCATGCCGTCCATCACAGCGGGGTCATGCTTGAGCTACAATGTTCCCTCCATTGGAAGAATGCTGATAATGAGCACTCTGTGTTGCAGTGCAGTAAAACTTTCCTGGCATCAGTATGCACTTCCTTGCTATGACGGAAAGGCGAAAAGTATTTGGTATGATCTATATGTTATCTGTATTCATGAGACCTTCAGTGGGTCAGGTGGAAGCATCTTATCTCTTCCTCAGAAAAATCTGGTCTAGTAACAGTTCCCGGATATGAACCAAGATGCACCTCTGCATTCTAACAAACTCATACAAATGTAAGATATGGTTGGGATTAAGCTTGGTGTTCCTGCTACTGTATCTCTCCTCTGTCTTCTTCACTGTTTGGACAGTGTGTACCTGTGTGTCCCTCTCCTTCCCTCCAGCATCACTGTTCTGGCAACAAGAGCCTGTCGTTGCCTTTGCAGCAGAGCAAGGATTACTGCATTTATCCTGGCAAAGGTAAATCAAGGACATGTATGGAAGGTAGTGAGAGGTCGGAAAATAAGTAGAAGCTACATCAGCCAGGGGCTACGTAGTGGCAGACATGAATATGCCAGTTTTGTAGAATTTACTGCCTATTTACATTGTTTTAAAGTACTGGGGAGTCTACATGCGTGTCAGTGCCAAGAAGAATGGCAGTATGGTTTAGATGGGGCAACACCCAACGAGTCCTGCATATGGGATTGCTTTTCCACCATATGCTACTAGCAACAAGGAAGCAATGCCCTGCTATATTTTGTCCTTTAACTCCCTGTCTATACTGAAAGCAGAAGGAGTGTGTCACATTGTGAAGGTTGATGCCACCTTGCCAGTCGGGAGAGGAGCCACAACATCTTTTCCATCAAAGTAAAGTCCGGTACCACTGTAGTTTCTTGCGTGATTTTGTGATTCTCACGAGTCCAGCTACATCGCAAGGTTAGGCACTGCCTAAACTGGAAGAAAAGACTTTCTTTAAGCTGTCTTTCAAACGTTAACTACCGCTATCATAGTCGCCACATACTACCCAAATCACCGGTATTTGTCGACCTGGGAATGAGACTCAACAATCAGCTATCTATTGAAAGAATGACTGACCCCACCTTTAAGTACCAGATTAACTACATGGTCCACACAATAATAACAGATCATTTGGGCTTCTTATTTTGCCAAACAAGTGTCAGCTGAATACAGATTTAACATGTATACAAGAATGCAAATTATGTGGATGAATTAATAACATACATCATTGTACTAATGACTTAAGTATCAGTGCTACTGCTGGAACACAAAGAAACCTTATTAGAGATAACATCATAGCTCATTTATCGTCTGATATCTGGCAGTGTAGGGTCATATTACGCCCTCATAAATGTGGAAGTGGGTTCCCAAGAGAACTTTATAGTTGGCTGTATTGGCTGATCTGGACCAGTTGTTGGCATGTCTTTACCAGGAATCACAAGTTAAGAGACAAAAGTGGAAATGGAACAAACAAGGCAAAGGTTGGGCCAGTTAACAGTGTAACAAACACACATCAACCAACACAATGTACATACAGTATGAGGAAGTAGCTCAGGGAATTGGATCCATGTCAATACTTATGTAAATGTATATTCACTGATGCTCTTTGTTTCAACAGCAATGCCAGGTGGAGTCAAGTCTAAAGTCAACATGGTTTGATTAAGTCATTTCAACCACACACACACACTCCACCCAGACAAATCAGCAGTTACAGGTGACGGCTCTGGTCATGGTACAGAAAATGCACAAAGCGAGAAAACACCCACACATTGTTGGCCTAACATCAAAAGTATATATACAAGTATATGAAATGATAGAAAAATCCAGATCCTGATTCATCCTTTACTCCTACACTAGGCCCTAATAAAAAACCACTAAATGCATTTCATTATTTCACAAAACTGAGAAAGCCTAGTCATAACAGTTGCCCTCTGTGTTTTCCTCATTTATGTTTGTGTGCTCTCCTGTTTTATCACCGTCTCTTTCACTGAACTCTCCCACACACGCCTGCTCCACATCTACCCACATAATGTGAAAAAGTGAACTGCTCTTTATTTCAATTCAATGCTATTTCACTGTTCATGCAATTTACCCCTCGCCTGACCGCTTTCTTCTCAAATGTCTATTTTCAGCTAGAGCTTCACAAATTAGCCCTTGAACTCAAACCCCCCTAATTCCAAAAGGAGCCAGTGGACAGATAATGATTTTCATATTACGTACGATTTCTCCATACCATGCCTGAGTATGATTGTACACTTGTGTCACAATCTACCTGACACTTGCTTATGTAGTTGCTACAGTGTAGAAAACCCCGCCAATCACAAGATTCCAAGCTCATACACCTCACTTGTGCAAGTTAAAACTCAATATAAGGCGGAAGTTTCCCTTTCTACAGAGCTATTACATAAGAGTAAGAGAAAATGGTGGAAAGCTGGCTCATTAAGTGAACGACAGCCACAAGAAATGATTAACAGGGTACAAATTTATTTCCTACTTTCTTGTTTTAGTACTATTGTTTTCACACCTCATGGGAACCCGAGTAAACTTGAACCATACTGAGGCAACCTTTTGAGGTGGCCAGGTCGTTAATCCGTACCCAGGTGCGGTACACGGTGTAAAATGTGTCTAATTGATGCTGTACTAAAATCACAATTTGCATTATTTTGCAGCTTTAAAGACCTTGAAAGAAAGAGAATACGTCCTGCGGTTGGGGTGATTTAAAGGCAGTGATGGCAATTTATAGCATTAGCGTATCTGGCTGGGCTGTGGTCCAGTGTTGATGTCCCCTTACACCTCCCCTCTCTGCTTCTATACTCAATACCAGCAGAACAAACTCCTCTCGTCTCTCCTCTAGCTCACCCTTACGCCCGCCCTCCTCCCTCCCACCCTCCTTTTCAAATCAACTCCTCCTCCTCTCTCTTTCTCCCATCATGCCCCGTCCCAGCACAACTGCCAGAGCCAGTCACCATGGTGACTCATAGCGAGCTCTGCTGAGGTAAAAACAAAAGACCAAAGGCCTACAGGACTTTGCATCCAAACTGAGAAAAGAGAAACTGAATGAGTGGGAGAATGTGAAAAGGGGGGAGAAGTGAGTGAAAATCAGCTCAAAAGTTGTGTTCTGTAATCTCTAAAGAGCCCCTTGCCCATCATTTACACACTTTTACTCTTTTGTGGATGCCTCCTTTTTCTCTCTTTCCTCCCATCTCACTCTGGCTTACTGCAGACTTCAAGCCTACTTGCACACAAACTCAGAAAAACGTAAACCCCTGAGCAGAAATACAATGAGAGACAAAGACACAGAGAGTCACAAACACAGAGGGAAAGAGGGAGAAATCAGCTGGTGTGGGGAGGCCCATTTACTCCCGTTATTGTGCAAAGACCCCATAACTCCTCCTCCCATCCCAGTCCTCTCACACCACCCGTCCTTATCCCTTCCTAAGACTACAGAAGTGTTCTCCGACGAAAGACACAGAAGCACAGACCCCCCACATTGAGACACCAACCAATATCCAGTATACGAAGCACAAGGAACAGAGACTAAATGACAAGGAAAAACGGAAAGCAGATACCAGTGAAGGTGTTTCTGTTACAGTAGTTTGTAACACATTTTCAGTAGTATATGTGAGACTCACTCGATCCTGGCATCCCAGCAGTGGCAAGCTGAGGCTGGTAGGCTCCCTCAGTGATGGCTGGCATGGGGGTGGCAGTCTGGGCAAACTGGGCCTGGGCCTAGAAAGTAATCAGAAGCGCCAGTCAACTGGGGGTGTACTTGGACATAAAATGGTAAATACTGGATGAAAGGCAGCTGTCATCAGTAGAACATAAACGAGAAAGGAGAAATGATTAAAGTAGTCGACACTCAAACCCCAGAAGAATGGTTTTACTCAGAGGGAACCTCCATATACTTCATTAGTGAGCCTATGCAACACACCTAATGGTAATTTATTCTTTCACAACAGTGTACAGGAGTTATATCTTCACTTACATGCAAATGTAATGCTAAAAGTTGAGCTCAGTGAATTTTCTGTTGACTTCAATGAAGCTGGGGGACTCACAAGAAGCAGAGCCCAAGACATCCTGACTTTTGGTCCGTGATATGGGTCAAGCTCCAAAAATACTGGATTGCATTGCCCCAGATCCTCCTGACTCCTAAATGCTCACTTCTTTCGAACCCCACACCACCAGCAGGCTCTCTGTTGAAAGTCTCAAACCCAATCTGAGATATGTTTTGAAACTTCTGAAAGTTCCAGAACCACAGAAGACATTATAATACTGTATCTGCTTTCAGAGGTGGTGTGAGCTGAATTTAATGCTAATTAAAGCTGCAAGCAGCGTT